ACGTGAAACCTATTGTTTTGATCATTTTCAATGTTAATATGACATTTTTTGGCGGTATGTAAAATTGATAAAGCAGAAATGTTAAATTTACATGAGACTTTTCTCTGCTGTAATATTAACATGAGAAATCGATATGACAACGTAATACATGCCAATGTTGATTTAACAGTTTTCATACCAATTAAACGTGAAACCTGTTGTTTCGATCATTTTCAATGTTAATATGACATTTTTTGGCGAAATGTAAAATTGATAATGCAGAAATGTTAGTTTTACATGAGACTTTTCTTTCGGTGTAGATATACAGCCCGATTTTCTCGCGATTCCGATTTCCGCGCCTTTTTCGTGTTAGGCATTCTGCACATGGGTCGTAGGGCTTTAGACGCGTATTAGATGCTACATACGAAAGTATGATGGACAATTTTACTCGAGGCAGGCTTATATTAAAATTATTTATATCAAAATGGATACAATCAATGTGTTTAGCTATGGTTCAATTGTTTCCATTTGTTCAATTTTAAATTAATTAAAGTCATGCCGGATTCACCAGCAAATTAAGTGAAAACTAATTTTTTCCATTCGGTCAGTTTTCATATTAAATTCAAATTAAAACAAGTAAGGGCAGTGCTGTCTTCGACTATGCCAAAGGCTTCATACCTTTGATGAATATCAAAAAAATTTTACTTCAACCGATTACTGAAATTGTAATAAGTTGTTTGTGAGCTCAACAAAACAAAAAACTTCTCTTAATTGAAGAGAAACAGCAATCAAAATGAAGAAAAATGGGAACGAAACAGCACTAAAGAAGTTTTATCCTCTTTTCATGCCCAACATTTCTTCAAAATGATAGATTACATCCACGGTTCCATATTTTCGTGTACGGTTTTACACATTCCAAAGAAAAATGAAGCATTCGGGAGAATTTTTTACTCATTCGGAAGAATTTTCGAACTTAAAGTAAGGAAAGTTTTTCTTTGATCCAGAGATGGATTTTTGGTACAGTGCTAAACAAAATTTATGTATTTACTGCATATAAAGATAGTGGAGTTAAAAAAAAAAACCCCCATATCTGAACAATCAGTGGTATGGAAAATATGCCTTAAAAAACACCGATGTAAATGATTTTCAGTGCTGTGTACGATCCGTATGTAAGCCGGTCAAACAATTTAATGGTTTAAAGGAATTTTTTTCGCCAAAACTAGTATCTGAACAATCTGAAGTTTGGACATATTTTCTCTGTAGGCTTTGTATGATTATTTAGAAAATAGTTAACGGAATTGCTTGATTTTAGCCGTCCAAGTGATGGAGTTTTAAATGTAAAACCCCATATCTGAACAATCAGTTGTATGGAAGCTATAGGTTATAGTGGCCCGATCTTTGTCATTTTCACTGTTTCCGATTTCTAAAAAAAAAAAAAAACTAAAAACAAACCTCATTGCACATCTACAGACCAAGTCCTTTAATTTGACACCACATTTTTGAAAATCGAATGCACGGTGCAGGTTTCATTGATAGCATTAACAAAAAGTGCCTTATCCAGGGAATGAATTTTTAGGACCTAAAAACCTATAAAAAATGCAAAATAAAATAACGAAATAGGCTGGAAAAGGCAAAATAAAATAAAGAATAAAAACGTATTCTTCGTCCAAAATTACTTGAATGATGAAAAAAAATTTTTTCGTCATTAAAAAATAAAAAAAATTATAAATAAAATTTCATTTCATGAAAGGTATAAAAATCATTTCATTTTGTGAAACTAACTATTTATACTTAAATGACCCCTAAAGCTCTCGTAATAGTCAATCGTTTCCTAGTGTCCATTCTAAAATCATTTGCAATGACTACAGTTTTCAAGTTTTTACTGGCTTTTATAATTCTCACACTACATCTACAGCAGAGGGAATACTTGGCCGAAGCCTACATAAAACTTACTAATGCGATATGTAAATCTTTCGATTACAAATTTGCCGACTTCAAAACTTGTCGTTTACACGTTTATCGTCGACGTGAAATTTCATTTACGATGCACGTAAGGCTCTTTCAAATACCAGTTCGTAACATCAGTGTGAGTAAGAAAGTTTGCGCATTTCTAACATAACTACTAAATACAAATTATTTACTTAGCTCAATTTAAGCCTTTGGCGGAAAGCTAACACATTTCAACCTTTTCTATACAATGTGACCGTTGATTTGTGTAAGTTTTTGAAACGTAGGAGCACAACCACTTTAAGACTTGTACATGAGGCATTATTTAAAACTTCGAATATAAATCACACTTGCCCGTTTGATGTAAGTATCGTATGTGCATAGTTAAATAAATAATATGCAAATTGTTCTCGTTTTGCAGCACGACATAATTGTAGATCGTTTCGTTCCAAACGATGGTATGTTTAGGCTATTACCTCTTCCTGAAGGACAATACATGTTCAAATTTATCACGGATGTTAACAATGAACGGAAAACTGACGTTCGCGTTGAATTCTCTATTGATTTAGACTCAAAATACAACTAAATATGTAATACTAGCAATTACCCGGCGTGCTTCGCTGCGCCTTAAAT